AGTAGTCTATAAATAGACCAGTTCTCTCAGGTTATTGACAGAGGTTAATTGGTGTTATTCACTTGTAATCTTTGAACCCTTGTTGAGAAAGTGAAGTTTTAACCAATTCTTATTCCTCTTCTTACTTCTTCTCTCTCTCTCTCTCTCTCTCTCTCTCTCTCTCTCTCTCTCTCTCTCTCTCTCTCTCTCTCTCTCTCTCTCTCTCTCTCTCGTAAAATCTAATAGGGTTTTTTGTGTTTGTTCAAGAAACTCAATCTTTATCTCATAATTTTGTTCTATTATTGATGACATCGTTTCACAACAACAACAAAAAAACCAATTACTCTCTCTTTAATAAAACCTAATAGAGTTTCTTGTGTTTGTTTAAGAAACTCAATTTGATGACACTGTTTCACAACAACAACAAAACAATTGCAACCATCTTTGACGTTGAGCGCGGGTAGTCGTTAGATGAATATCAATGATTCTGATGAAAAAAATGTGCTTGTGTGTAGTGCTTGGGAATACAACTCTATTTGCACGTCAACGATTGACACATTTTAACTAAATGGAACGAGTATTTGTGAGTTGTTGGCTAACCTGAAACAATTATAATATAGTATAATATTGTGATGTCAAATCAAATATTATATTTGTGTTTAATTAAATATTAAACTAAAATATAATAAGATATTGAATTTAGTTTATTTCTTAAAAAATGATAGGAGTAGTCTAAGTATAATTATAATATTGAAATTTACAACTATTAACTTCTTTTTAAAATGAGTGTTGTTTTGACAAATAAAATTTATTTTAGAATAACATTAAATTCAATTTTATTAAAGAAAGTTGTACTAATATTTAATTATCTATTTAATTATTTTTATCTATACTGCTTTCAAAATGAATTCTCTTTTAATCACTTTATTACGGATCTGTTTTTTTTTTTCAACTTTAAAAACATGGATGTTTTTCTTTATATTTTCAAAAATAAATTTTACAAAATAGTTTTTCAAAATATTACAAGTTTTTTTAATATTTATTTTTTCTAAATGAAAAGACAAATTTTGACATTCTATAACATAAACATACATTATTGAAGATAAAAATATAGTCGAAATCGCATTTTTTAAAAGTTGTATCTCAAAAATGATTTGTATGAAAATCTATTTAAAATAGCTTGAAAATTAAGTGATTTTTTTTTAAATTTCAATATCCTAAAAAAGTTTCAACAAAATGATGAAATATCTAAAATAGAATTTCAAAAATAACTATCGAAACTAAATTTTCATTTCACACTTTTATGAAAAATTTCTTTGCAAATATTTTTTACACAACATAAAAATCCTTTTTTTTTAATTCAAAACAAACGGACCCTATATTTTCTAATTTTTGTGTAAAATTTTTAAACAATACTCATTTCAAAACAAAACATCATTCCATACACATTCTTCTGTTCCAACACAACTTTGGAGCATTTATCTCATATTTTGGCCTGCATCAACCACCAAATATTGGTACTTCTTCTCAATACCTTACAAATGGCACAATCCCCATGTCACAATTTCCACGTACACTAGGAAATAACATTTCTTCACCTCTAAACACTAATACAATAAAAAGTAGAAGTATTCCAAACACATCTTGCCATACACTTCCCTCGGGAATAACAACAAACTTTGTAGCATCCACTTCAAAGGATGGTCAACATGTTCAGTTTTCAAATATAACTTTCACATCATCTATTTCTCCAACACCAAACCTAAGACAACACAAGTTCCCATGTAATTCTTTTGATGATGAAACCTTTGATTCAGATTCGGAGCACAATGTGACCAATTCATCTAATTCGGGTGATGAGGATATTGAAGATACGCTTACTAACTCAAACCTTCAAGGTTATTTATTTAATTATTCTATTATGTAAACAACGTATTTACAGAAAAACTTACTCAACTAATATGTCCATATAGAATATTTAGATATTAGTAACCTCGTTTGGGAATCAGCATTGTCAGGCTTCTATGTGGTATCAAGAACGTAAGTCCAAACTTAAACAAACATTTGTACCAAAGTTTAAATTGTGCTGCAAAGGTGGTAAGATTATGCTGCCACTAATGATACAACCTCCTCCTCTGCTACATTAACTACTCTTTGATAGAACAGATGCACTTGCTAAAAAGTTTCAAGTCAATATAAGAACTTACAATGCTATGTTCTCCTTCAATTCCCCTGGAATGAAATTTCACACGACTTATTCCAAGGGCCACGGTCCACCTACTTTGTGACTTCATAGTCAAACATGTCACCGAATCGGAAGCATGTTTCCGAAATCCAGAAAACCTCCCAATATGCTTAACTTTACATATTTGACACCGATAATGAGATCGACAACAAAATAGATTATTTCAGGCAAGGGATGTGTTGAAGGAAAATACATTTCAAGACTTGAAGTTGAGACTTATTTATAATAGGCCTAACGATGGTCACGTCTGTAACATTCTCATGGACTCTGAGGTTGCTGCTCTGATTGTGGGTGATATTGACTTCGCTGAACAAAGGGACATCATAATCCATGCACGTGATGGTGGATTACAAATAATAGATGCGTTTCATCCAACTTATCTTAGGTACCAATACCTTTTGATATTTTCATATGGGGAAGATGGTTACAGGACAAACATACTTCACAAGTACCAACATGAACATTTGGTTACCAAAAAGAACCGTCAAACAATTAAAGATTGATTTACATTTTGATTACAAGAACGCACTGACGAACCAAAAACATTACTACATTTGAGATGGCTTTTCCAACAATTCTTGGTTGATGTTTATACTATGATGGAACCTGAACGATTAACTTGGTTGTGGAAGAACCAATATAAACTAAGAGTTGGTAAATATAATAACTTACAACAACAAGGTGTTTCCAAAGCTACCTACCTAAGTACAAAGAGAAGAAAGTGGGTTATCTTGCCATCTACTTTTACGGGGTGCAAGAGATACATGGATCAACTATATTTTGACGGAATGGCTATTTCAAGTGAATTGGGATTTCTTGATTTGTTTTTAACCTTTACTTGCAACCCAAATTGACCCAAAGTAAAGCGACTGTTGGAAAAGCATAACTTGAATGCACGTGAATGACCTGATATAATAGCTAAAGTATTCAAAATAAAATTTTATAAACTCATGCGCGGTATAACCAAGAACCATGTCTTTCGCCGGGTTTTGGCATGTAAGTCTTCCAATCACATTTTGCACTATCCTTTCTGTTCTGTATGCAGTTTACATTAACAAAATTATCTTTCTTAACATTCCAGTTATATATACTATCGAATTCCAAAAGAGATACCTCTCACACGCTCACATTTTGATATTCTTACATCCTCAAAGTAAATAACCACTCCTGCTGAAATTGACCGAATATTTTATGTTGAGATACCTAACCCCGAGCTTTATCGTACTTTGTACAACTTGGTCAAAGCACATATGGTTCATAGACCATGTCGTCTATCGAGAGAATCATCGCCGTGTATGAAGAACAAAAAATGCTCTAAATACTTTCCAAAGAGATTCATTGAGAATACTGTTGTCGATGCTGATGGATATCTACTATAAAAAAAGAAGAGAAGCTACACACATAATTCACAAAAATGGAATCCATTTGGACAATAGGCATGTCGTTCCCTATAAAAAAAAAGTTTCTATTGAAGTACCATGCTCATATCAGTATGGAATGGTGTAATCAAAGTACTTCAATCAAGTACTTATTCAAGTATATCCACAAAGAGTATGATAGAATAACCGCATCCATAGTGCCTTCTAAGTGGACCTCCTCGAATGATAATGAACCCATTGATGAGATAAAATAATATCTTTATTGTAGATACGTCTCTCCATGAGAAGCAAGTTGGAGAATCTTCTCTTAAAAGATTCATGGAAGGAAGCCAGCGATTGAACATATGTTTTTCCATCTTATTAGTGAGAATTCTATGTAATTTAGAGAAGGAAAGCACCACAAAATATATGTTCTCACCGAGGTTAATTACAAATCATAATTATGAAGATGCTAGACAATTGACATACGATCAGTTTGTCACTAGGTTTGTTTACATGGAAAGAAAAAGAATGTGGAAGCCGCAGAAGAGAGTGTTTACAATTTGCCATTTGATATGGGTACCACTGTCTACCAGTGAACTTTTTTATCTTCAAATAATGTTGACTGTTGTAAATGGACCAACAACCTATGAAGAAATTTGAAAGGTTGACGAAACACAATACGACTCATTTAGGGATGCATGTTTTGCAATTGGTTTCCTTGAAGATGATAGGGAATACATTAGAGCAATCAAAAAAGCAAGTGAATAAGGGTCAGAACATTTCCTTAGCAAGATTTTCGTGGTTATGCTTCTATATGGAAATGTAAACAGGCTAGCTCATGTTTGGAACGAGTTGTGGGTTTTATTGTCAGATGGTTTGTTGCACAGACAAAGACTATTGGCTAACAACAAAGGTATGCTTTAGTTTTTATAACACTTCTTTTCTTTTATACTATAATGTTGAAATAAACATTGTAACCAATGAAATATAATTGTGTTATATTTTTCCTGCTTATCTGTGTTATTAATACCTTGAAATTATGATTTACTGACCCCATTCACTACAACAAAAATGACTTTTGGCAACAACTCAAAACTGCAACCTAAAGTGCAATAACCGTAGCCTAAGGCTTTAGGGGGCGGTTTATCAGACATGGAATAAACAGATGTTGCCTATTCCTTTAGAGCGCGGTTTTTTTATTTTTAACCACAGATTCAAAACACTGCCGCCTAAATCATCAAATTCCACGGTTTTAGTTGTAGTTTTAGGCCGCGGTTTTCTAGTAACAACACAAAATAATCGTCCCCAAAACATGAATATACAGCGGTTATAAAAAAGCAACAAATGAAAACCGTAGCTGGTTTATAATTTCATTTAAAGAACCGCGCCTAAAACTTAGGAAAAGTCCACGGTTTTTAATAAGCAACCCTTAAAAAGCGTTGCCTATAAATTGAAAAATATTTGGTAATTATAACCTTGGCTTCGCTGTTGAGGATTATAGACACTGATCTTGGCATGTACTTCCCTGGTAAGACATATAATAGAAATGAAACATAGGTTAGGAAAGTATACAAAAAAGTTATAATAATTGAATTTGGTTGTGGAGCTTTTTATTATTGCATTGAAATCTGAAAGTACCTTCTGGTGATTCCACGTATAACTCAGCACCTTGTGCAAGAATCAATCTTCCTTTTTCAAAATCAAAATCCAAATCATACTTTTCTTCAATTGGCAACATGTGAGTGTGAATCTGCCAACAACAAGACATAGTAAAATTAATACAGGCTCGATAAAAAAAACGGTGCAATCATTAGTGAAGCTGATCTTGAGTGGTGTCTTGCACCCCGCAGTTTGTAATCCTAAATGAGTGAACTACCCAGTTTAGATAGAAAGCCTCCTCATATTTCCATAGAGGCAAGCCTTCTCTTAAAGCAACCTCATCGATTTGGATGACGGTAATGCTAGCTTTCTCAAGATCCTCAACCTCATCCTTTATAGCCAAAGCAATCTAGTAGCAAGTCTCAAATCTAATAATAAATAAATAATATTAAATGAAATTGATATACTGCAAAATGATCATCCTTTATAAGGTGATTTTTCATACCTAGGTTGGTCATCTCTAACAAAGGACCAGTTCAGAATAGTAACTGTCGCACCTCAAAAATTCATTTCGAACATACGACCCTCGCGCGAAAGGCGCGGAAATGCGGTTCGACAGAGTCGCCACCGAACTTTATTTTTCCCGAATAGACGGGAGAGGAAAATATCGAGAAAACCTCATAAATGCGGAAGGAACACGGCCGTCGCAACCATATTCCTGGGTTCGGGAGTCGGTTACGCAAGGGGAAGGTATTAGCACCCCTCACATTCGTCGTACTCGACGGGTACCTCTTAGTTCGAGTTAATGGATGTTAGCTAAACTTAATTCTTCTCTTCTCTCTACTAACTGCTAAAGGATACTATAAAAGGATAAAGACACTAGGGGAAAGGGAATGGTTAGAGGATAGGGTGCTCGCCAAGGATTGGGGCCCTTGTGCCTACGTATACTCATTCGGACGAGAATGAGAAATCAGAGCGTCGTAGTTCGACTACGGGAAATGATGGGGGAAATGGAAGATGGAGGGGATTGTGCTCGCCAAGATCATCGCAATCTCGTGCCTACGTATCTTATATTCAAGAATGAATAAAGAATCAGAGCGTTCGTAGTTCGTGGTAACGACCACGAAAGAAACAGGTTTGAATTGGATTTGAAGTGAGTACGGATGACGATTACTCGAAGTTTAAGAAAGACTTCTCGGACCCAAGTAATCGGGAGAGCGAACCAAAGACTTGGAACACTCTCTTTTTCATCATGAAGGAATGATATGTTTGAAAGGATAAGGTTGAAACGATGACGGTCACTTGAAGCCTAAGAAAGACTTCACAAACCCCAAGTAATCGGGAAAGCGAACCAAAGACTTGGAACACTCTCTTTTTCATCATAAAAGAAGGTTGTTAGAATTTGAAATGGTGTATAAAAGGATGAGATTGGTCGGATGACGACTACTTGAAGCTTGAGAAAGACTTCTCGGATCCAAGTAGTCGGGAGAGCGAACCAAAGACTTGGGACACTCTCTTTTTCATCGTAAAAGAAGTTGTTTGAAAGGTGAGTGAAAGGATGAGTAATTGGAGATGGTTGAGTATTATCGAGTTTGTTAATATTATTTAAAAGCGTCAATTGCTCACACACGAATAAGATAACTCGCATATAAACAACGGAAAGCAAGCTCAAAGACTTGAACCCACTCTTTACACCTTGAAAAGGATTGAATAGTTGTTAGTTGATTGATAGTTTGTTTCGAAAATCCTCTTGACGTTGGATCAAGGGTTTGACTCATTATCGCGTGCAAAGCGTGTTGAAAATGAAATTGTTTGAAAAAAGAGACCGGCTTGACTTACGCATCAAGGGTCAAGTTGTAATAGGTTGATGGCGAATGCGTATGAGCACTCGACTTACGGGTTGTTTGAAAGTGGCTCGATGATGAATCAAGAATTAGTTTGAAAATAGTTTGATCCGCTCTAGTCCCTATGGGTGCTCCTAGGAGATAAACTAATAATCAAATAAATGCGAAACATACATCGGAATGGGGAAGGGATACATGTAATTTACACGGGATTGCACGAAATAAAGGGGTCTCATTGTCAGGTAGCCCAAGAGAAAGCCGTGTGTGTGTGCATTTGTGTCCTAAACTACGCCTTGAGCAAAGTCGGGCATGACTTAAAATCAAGATACCTGCAAATAACCAACGATACAACAGTCCACCAATTTGGCTTTTAGGAGTTTCGATAATTTATTAAGTGTTTTCAAATATGGGTGAGTGAGAACGAATAAATATGATAATAAATAATATGAATAAATATGATAATATGAAATAATATGAATAATTCTTGACAGAAATTAAATTTAATGTTAGTTTACCGAAATAAAATCGAAAGAACAAAGGTGGTCTCGGATCCTTTGTTTCACGCCACCAATGTGACGGTTAAACGGTGGAAATCTCGTCATCGACCGATATGAAAAATTGAAATATCATAAATAGATAAATAATAAAAATAAGAAGGAGCTAATTGATGAAACTTAAAAAAAAAAAAAATTAACAAATCTTTTAAACAAAATAGAACTTAAAGCATAAAAATTAAGAATTGCTAATATGAGTTTTAAATTACTAATAGAGTTTTTGTGAAACTTAAAACAAAAGTTTAAAACACACTGAATAAATTTTTTTTAGAAAAAACTTAAAATTATTTTAAAACAATGGTTAATGATGACAAAAGGGGGAGGGTGTTGAGATTGTAAAGGAGTTGAAAAAGAAAAGGGGAATCATTTGGGATTTTGAGCCCATCATCCCAACTGGTGCGGACAACAAGGGTGGGAGCTTGGTCATAAAACCAAGAACGGGCTCCCATAGCCCATGACCCAGGTGCCCCTAAAAATAACCAAAAAAACTTGACCGCCAGTTGTGATCATATCTCAACATAATAAGAAAAAGGGGATCGTAAAAACACCCCGTCAACACCTCAAATCAGAACAATGAAAAGAAAAAAATGGAAAAGAAAACGCAAAGCCTCAGGACAAAAACACGCATGCGACTCCACGCTTGATCCAACCTTTGAGTCATGTGAGTTGATTTGCTCAGATTCGCGGCTCAGGTTTAACTCCAATCTCGAATCTGCTTCGGTTTTGGACCTCTCTCTTCTTCTTCTAGTTATGAGTGAGTTCCATCTCCATCTGTTCGTGTCTGGTTTTAATTTTGGGTTAGTGTTTTAACGGGTGTTGAATATTTGGGGGATTTGAGGAGTTTGATGTTAATGGGTTTCGATTGGGGTTATTACTGTTGATTGAAGGGAGTTTTGTGTGTTTCAGTTTGGATTGATTGAATGGTAAAAACTGAAGAAAAGGATGGGTTTTTGAAGATTAGAGTTGAAGGTTTCGATTATGTTGATGATTGAAGGGAAGAAATTTTGAAGGTTATGGAGATTGGGGTTCTGTTGGTTGAGGTTTGCATTTCAGAAAAAATATAATCGGTTGAAGGGGGATGTCAAAAGGGTTTGTGAGTTATTGATTGAAGATTTAGGTTTGAAAAAAAGGGAAAATGGAGGAGGGTTTAAAGGTTGAAGAAAAGTGGTATTGTTGGGTTTGAAAAGAACGAGTATCAAGGTTCCAAGTTTTTAGGAGGAAGAAGAGAAAAGAAATAAAGATTTTTGATTTGAAGAAGAATTAAAGGGGTCATCCTGAAAAGATTTTCGGTTAGGGTTAAGAGGCTATGTAGGATGAGTGACCAGGAGCCCCGAGGGAGGTCGTGATTTTGATTTTAAGGAGGTCTGTGAAAGTTCTCAATGAGTAAAATGAAGTAGGTTCCAAATCTCTTTCTCTTTCTCTTTAATTTTCTTGCCTTTTCGATGTCTTCTGGCTGTCTTGGTTGTTGTTGCAGGTTTGTACAGTTTTGGTTCAATGTATGATCTGAGGAAGATGCCCTGTTTTTCTGTCTCTGCATCGTACAGTTTGTAGAGTAATGGCTCAAGTCAATGAGGCGTGTTGGGTTCATTTGTTATTGTTGGTTTCTTGAATTAATTTAGACATATTTTATTCCTTGTATGTAGGTCTGTGTGGTAGCAGAGTTCTTTGCATTAAATTTTGGACAGTTTGTAGCAGGATTTCAGCAACGCTTGGGGAACTGGTTTTTTGGCTTATTGCAAGTGTATTGTAGCAGTTCTGGTGTAAGTAGGCTTTGTTTTTGTGGGGGCCAAAGGTACAAATTTGTTTTTAGCATGAGTTGGAAAATATGTGAGTTTTCTACCACCAATTCACTTTTTCGCTGCAGTAACTCTTCTTTTACTTTCTTGGACTGGCTTGGTTTCATGATTGTATCATGTTCTTTCCATTAAGAGATTTACCACTAACATGCCACTTTTCTTATTGTTTGAAAGTACCAGGATCTCTAATGCACCAAGAGTTGCTTGCCGATACGTTGTTGTCGTGATTTGCAAGCTGGGTGTATGCCACATTAGGGCTTGATTCCGTGTTATGCAGGTGCGCTAGCTTAGAAACTCGACGCCGGCTACAGACAGAAATATCAACATCAATCCTTAATTTTCCATGTGCTTGCTACTTTACTATTATTTGCAGGTCCTTTTCATTACTCATGGTTTGTAATCTTATGCTGCAGATCGCGAGTTGGTAGCAAAAGGTGTGCGTGATGCCGCGAGCGAAACTCGTTGGTAGAACATGGCATAATTGTCTTTGTTTTAATACAGATTAGTGATACGGTTTATACTCAATTGGTGATACATAGAAAGTGACTTTGTGGAGTACCCTTGTATGTTCCTTGGCTGCTGTTTTTGTATGCGTATTGGTACCAGTTGAGTTCAACTCACAAGTGTTGTTATTGCAGGTCTGGTTTTTTTACGTGTGACAATGGATGATGGTTATTGCCATGAATGGTTTTCAAAAGTTTACGCGGGGCCTGAAGGGTACAAAATCTCGGCATACTCTGGGTGTTTTGGAGCTGGTACATGTACTAATTGTTGCATCGTGATGCATAGTACAGGTTGTGGGAGGTTTTCTCTGCGTGACTTTTCTTTTCCTTTTGCAAGTGTATATGACCGCGAAACTCGGTAACAGCTACGGATGGGATCATCAACATCAATACTTGATTATCCATGTGCTTGCTATTGAGGAAACATGAAGGATGGAAGAGT